AATATCCACTGGATACACTGGGAATGGAGACGCTAAAAAGTCTACTTCCTCGCCTCTCACTGGGGAAACTGAGGCAGGCTCTTGAAAGGCCACTCACACCTTAGCAGCATGCCACAACCACTTGACTATTGTCTGCCTCACACGCCAGAGGTGGAACTTGCTAGAAGGCATCCTCTTAACTTGACTTCTTTTTTACAGTTTCTAGTTCAGGATGAGCCTTTCAGAAGGTGCTGAAGAACTACTTGCTGCATGAAAGGAGCCGGGAGGGTTTCTCCTTTGCGTTTTCAAAGCTGTGAACAACAGAGGCATTCACAGGTTAAGGGACTTGCTGCCCAGGGTCTCACAAGCCAGGCTAGGATGTCGCAGAACTTGAACTCTGGATGCTGGATAGAACTGCCAAGGCTTTCTAGAAAAAAAAAACCTCCCGTGTCTTGGCCCTCACTCCTGCCCAGACGTATCTGGCCCGGCCAACTGCAAACCTGGCAGCCAGCACATCCTGGAATTGAGTGAGCAAAGCTCCCCTTATCTTAATTAGGAAATTAATTCCATTCACCCTAGATTGATCTGTGGTCAGCCTCTCCTTGGGGGCCCAACGGGAACAGGTAGATAATAAGCAAGGCTTTTTGTTTCCATCCGATCCCTGCATCCTGGCCTGATGGATCGCTGACATGGAAGGTTTCTTCTTGGCAGACAGAGGTGGGTGGGAAGTGACACCCCAGGCTAATGTGGTCCTCCCTCTGGCAAGGAGGCACAGCTCTCCCACGGCCCTGCTCAGCTCCCGCCTTCTTGCAGGAAGAGCTATCCAACTGGTCTCGCAGGCACCTCCTGGGCCCAGCCTGCTGTGCCAGCGCCTCAGAGCCTCCTCCTGCCCCCCTGGGCTCCCTCGTGATCCCTACCAATCTTGGGAGATCTGTGCCCATCTTTTTTCTTCAAAGTGGCCCTGGGGACGCCTGAAGGCCAGGTCCTTCCCCCTCCACTTCAGGATTTTGGGGGTGGGGTGGGTGTCAGGCAAAGTGCTCCCACACCTGCACCCAGCTCCCTGCCAGGGACCAGCCAGAGTAACCTTGGGAAGTAAGTCGCCTACGTGCCACCTCCCCTTTGGGCCCAGCTTGGTTCTTCTTTGCCCCAGTCCTCTGGCTTCACCAGTCCTTCATCTGTGGCAACCAGTGCTTGTAGACTCTTCACATCTGGGCCCCGGACTCCTAGCCAGGGGGCAGAGGCTGGGAGCACAGGGAGACCTGAGAAACTGGGAAAGTTTGACTTGGTTTCCACTCACCAAGATAGGAAAGAACACTGGGAGCTTGCCTACTGTATACCCTTCTCATTCTCCAGGAGGGAAAATTAGGGCCCAGAGAGGGAAACTGACTTCCCCAGAGCCCCACAGCACACACCAGAGGCAGAGCTGGAACTAGAAGTCCAGACTCCTGACTTCTCCTTTGCTCCTCCACACTCTACTGGCTGCCTGTCTATCTCTTCCTGGCCATGAGGGCTAGGCAAATAACTCAAGCCTATAAAATTTCGTGACATTGGAGGCTGAAAGAATTTCTGGGATTTTACAGCAAAACATTACATAGAAGCATTGTACAGAAGAGCATCCACCCATTTTTGAGAAGAGCAAGTTAAGGCCCCTAAAGGTAAGGGGACCTCCATGAAATCACACAGCCAGGGAGAGGCAGAGTAGGACTTCCAGATGCCCCACTTACGTGATCTTTCTGTCAACAGGTTCTAGGTGTGAAGGGTCCCAACTGTGGGACAGTGAAGAGGTGGGGCTGGCCCTGGGCCTCAGTCACACTGAAATGAGGTGTGACCCAGAGAGCCTGGTCCAGACTCTGCACACATCCCAAAGGTGCAGACCACAGTGGGAGAAAGAACATCTGGGTAGATTTTTATGGTTTTGCAGAAAATACGGTGAAATTTCCCAACTAAACTGGATTTCTCAGATCGTAGAGCCAGCACTTTTAAGAACAGGCTGGTGAACCACACGTGCCCATCTGTTTTCATCCAAAGGGCATGGACAGGGCTTGAAAGGGAAGGTTCAGCAGTAATTAAGCACAGGGTCTACTGGCACCAGAGGGAGGGGGTGGGGGCGGGTGAAGGTGGCCGGGGCCCAAGAGATGGCTGATCACTGACACATGGGCAGTGTCTGAACCCAAGTCTGGTTCCGGAGCCTATGCTCTTTCCCCTGACCTGGTGCTGAAGTCGTAACAGGAAGCCCTCCTGTCTTTGAGCATTCTCTCTGCTCCCGCCATCTCCATCCCCACAGCCCAGGGACCTGGAGTCAGTCCTGCAAGGAAGGCGAGGGCCTCAGGTGACAGGTGTCAGCTTTAGCTACCTCTCCACTGGGACAGGGGCAGTGATGCCCAGGGGCAGGCGGTCCGGAAAGAGGCTGGCACGCACTGTAGAGCCAGGGCTGGATTCCATCACCCGGGGACAGTCCTAGATTCCTAAGCCCCAGCCCTGCTGGGATGAGGGGAGTGAAGCTGTGGTGCACACATGCCCCCTCCCACCCTGCCCCCAGCTATCCCAGCTAAGTGCTTTCTGGCTGGGTAAACACTTCAATAGCTCTGGCTGCCTGAGGCAATTCAATTATGAAATTTACCACTTTAGATGAAAACCAGCATCTCAATCAGCCAATTCATTTGCGTCTGGCCACTCTGTTTTCTCCTGCCAGCTCTGACTGCCCCTCCCTGGCCAGGCCACACTGTAGGCTGGTCCAGACGGATTAGGGCTCAGGTGATGGGCCGGTCTTTGGGGCTGCTGGGGCGGCTTTTCCCAGGACCCCCTGAGCAAGGGAGAGAGAGGCTGCATCCAGGAGCCACCCATTGTCCCGGAGACTCTCAGGACTGCTCACTCCACAAGCCAAAGCATGAGGGTCTCAGGTGAACCTATCACCTCCCACCCGCACTCTCCCTGACCTCCACCTGCACCTGCTTTGTGGTGGGTGGGAGAAGACGGCCACCCGGGACCCAGAATCTGGGCTGTGTCATGCTTTTCTCATCTTTAATTTGTCAAGGCATCATCTCCCCGGAAAGCTTCACCACCCACACCCCTCAGCTCCCCTTGGCTGCCATTATCACTGGGGTATCGTGCACACCTAGGTGTGTCTATGTATCTGGAAACCAATTCATGTGCCAGCACACCCTGGTCTAGAAGCTCCCAGAACACAGGGTCAAGACCCTTCAAACAATGACTCAATTAGCCAATTAACAAAAGAAGGAACTAATGAATGAACAAACCACTCACGTAATTAACACTCCCACTCCCGCCCCCTGGCGCATCAAGGTGGTAGATGGGAAGAAGTAGCCTGCTCTCATTGCAGCCTACAGCCTGGCTAATCTTCCTCTCCTTCCGGCTCCCTTCCCCCACACTGGGTGCCCAGAGGTCTGAGAAGCTATTAAGGGGCATCGGGCTGCAGAAGCTGTCTCCGAGGCCGGGTGTGCGGCTCACCCACAGCCCCTCTTTCTCTGCACCACAAACATAAATCCAGCTGCAGCCCGAGCCCCAGGATGAAGGTTTCCACCATTTCTCTCTACCTTCCTTTTAACTGCCTCCCTGGAGTCCCTTCCTGACAAACGGAATGAATGACTCCAGGCCAGGAGAGCTGCCAGGCCCAGAAGACTGACTCCATCAAACTCCTGAGGCACAGCCTGAGGACCTAAGGACCCCTGGTCTCCGAAGGATACCAAATCTGCCCCAGGCGAGGTGGACCTTGGTTCCTGCTCCACCCCCAGCCCCCAAATGCAAGCCTTGACCAACAACCACTAGGAAACCTAACAGCACACTCAGGGCCACCGCACATCAGTCCTACCTGCGAAGCGGGGAGACTGAGACCCCGGATCCCAAAGGGAGTGACTGGTTCCCAGGTTTATAGAGAGTTGTGTTGTGGGTGTGAATGAGTGTGGGAGTAGTCCAAGTAGGTTAGTCCCTGGGTGGGCTTCTACCCCAATCCCTTTGATCAGGTCTCTATGAAGATTGTTCTTTGGTCAAAGAAACCGATAAAGCACCTTGCAGACTTTGAAGCAGCAGCAGCACCAAAAAAGTGTAAGGTGCCCCCTGGCGTGGGGGGCGGGAGGGGGGGGGATCCAGTCTCAAAGGAAGAGCATCTCAAGCAAGGAGAGGAAGAAAAGGGAGGGGGCGTGCCCGCATAGGGTCCTGAGCCACGCAAGGGCGGGGGGAGAGGAGAGCCGGGCTGGCTGTCTACAGAAGGCTTGCTCTGGACCTGCGAGGGGGGCGCCACGCAGCGGGCAGGTGGGTGGGACTTACAGCGTGTGGCCATCCCCCCCTCCCCGCCCCCCGCTGCTCTCCAGCTCTCTAAACCCAGACAGGGGACTCCCCCGTCAGGCGGGACGCGAACGGCCGAGGGCACCGCGGGCGGCCGACCCGGGCCCGGCTCGCGGGGACCACTCTGCCCTGGGCCGACCCCGGGCCCCCGCTCCGCACGAGGCAGGCGGCCATCTGGCCCTCGGCGTCAAGTGCGCGGGGACTTCGCCCGGCCCGGGCGCAGAGCCCAGCCTCTCAAGTCCTCAGAGCCGAGCAGCCTCCTCTTTCCAGGATCGATAGTAATTTTTTAAAAAGAGAGTCTGCGGACTCAATGAATCAACCACTCCCAAGGGGGAGAGTTGTAGCTCCCGCGCGCGACGTGCATTTGCTGAAACAATTCATTCCCTCGCCCGGGGCTCTCTGCAAATCCCCTCGGCGGGTCCCCGGGCACGCGCGGGGCGGGAGCAGCCGCGGGGGCTGGGAGGAGGCGGCCACCCCCTCCTCACCATTGTCCCCGACTCCGCCGGCCCCAGAGACCCTGGGCGCTCCGGGGACGCGAGGGGCGCCGGACTGCTCCCGGGGCGCGCGGCCCCGCGGGGGCTCAGACGGCGGGGCGCCCAGGTCCCCGCAACCCCCGGTCCCCGCCAGGGGGGAGGTGACAAGTGTCGAGCCGGCGGCCGGGCGCGCAGCCAGACCAGCCCGAGGCGGGCGCCCCCAGCCGGCCCGGCCCCGCCACTCACCGCTGGGGCGCCGCCGCCCGCCGCGCTCAGAGGCTCCCGGTCGCCGCGCGAGGCTCCACAGCCCCGGCCGCCGCCGCCGCCGCCGCCGCCGCCGCTCCCCTCCCCCGGCTCGCCACAGCCGGAGCGTGCTGCTGCTGCGGTACAGCCCCGGCGCCGCCAACAAACTAGTTTCTCAGGCCTTCCCGCCCCGCCTCCCGGCGCGAAGCCAATCAGAAGCGGCGCCTCTGTGACGGATGGGCGGTCGAACCAGTAGTTCCGTCGGCAGTGGGAGAAAGGGGTGGGTGCCCGGGCCCCGCCGGCAGGGCGAGGGGGTGGGGCGGGGAGAGGAAAGGGACTTCGACCAGATTCTTAAAGGCACAGGCGCCGGCCCGCCCCCGCCGCCGAAGTTGGGGAACAAAACCCGACGGTGTTCTAGAGCTTTCCGAAAGAGGCACCTGTGCAGATTGCAAATGGCTCTTCTGTACCGGGTGTGAGGAGCCACGCTTTTCGTTGTGAAAGTGTTAGGGAAACGCTTTCATTTTGCTCTGGGCTTGTTTCAAAGTTGGGGATTTTCTGCAGCGACGAAACCCCATTAATACTTGGAATATGTATTTTTCAGGGTACTTCAGCTCTCCCTCTCGTGCCATTGCTCACTAAGTTTTCTTCTATGTTAAGTCAGTCTTCAAATATTCGTCTATTCATCCATTCATTAATTCCTTGCACAGACGTTTACCGGACGCCTGCGCGATGTGCTACTTAACGAAATGATCTATAATTTCTATTTCTTAACTTATGGTTTTGCATCTCGTCCCGCCACTTCAGGTTGCTGTGTATCCAATTTCTTCATCTGTAACGCGGCAGGTAAAAAGTCCTAACAGGATTACTCGCGGAGTTAAAGGAGACAAACTCCTATGACAAGGTAAGTATGCAATAAATGTGTTTCCTTTTCTCTCTTCCCCTTAAAATTGATAATAAGATAGGTTACTTAAAGATACAAAAAGCCCTGGTAAAGTTTAGGAAGTCCCAAGTGTTGCAGGAGCCAATTACGGGGCGGGGAGAATTCCCAGGAAGCAGAGGTCACAGGGATGGGAGGTGCCTGGAAGGTTCATAGAGGGGGAGGGGAGCGCTCAAAAGATTTGCAAGAGGGGTGGGATTTGGACTTACGGTTAATGGAAAGAAGGACCCATGCCTAGAAAGCTGTTTAGACTGGACAAAAGAGATTACAACCTTAACAAGGTGTGAGATGGCAGGGGAGGCGTGGGGGGAAACAGTGTGGTGCAGAGGACAGCCCAGGAAACCCGATCTGGGTTTGGATCCTGGCTCCAAAGAGCTGTCGAGGGCTGGAGGCAGATTGCTCCAGCTCTCTGAGTGTCAGATTCTTACTGGCAAAAGGAAGATTCTAGAAACTATGGCTGGGTTGCTGTAAAGATTAAGTGAATAGACGTAATAGACCTGGCACTTATAAGTGCTCAATATAGGTTTGTGTCTTCTTTTGGCCTAGATGTGGAGACAGTTAAGACAGGAGGGTCCTGGTATTTAAGAGCAGTCTTGGCCAGAGGTAAGAAGCTGGCCAAGTGTGCTGTTTAGGTGCCTTCCAGGGGGAAAGGGCGGCATCAAAATAATTGGCCCATTAGAGAAATGGCACAGATCATATTTGTAGTTTTAGCCTCCTGCCAATTTTGTGGAGCTAGAGTATTTATATAATTGTTGGTTGGATGAAGCTCCACGTACAAAATTGATTCTTAACAAGCTCATAACCATCGCTTAGTATGCCATTCAGGTTCTCTGAGAGATTACAAGTGCCAAGCATCTAAAATCTTGCCCGCGTGATCATTTCTCGCCTCTTCAACGCCACCGCTTAAATTAGCTACTGGAATATATTAAAATCAAATGTCGGCAGTAGAGAACCAAACCAGACCAAGAACACGTGTTGAGTTATTGAATTTAGATGTGATTTGAAATGAAAAGAGGAGATGAAGCTTGCTTTGCCATCTGTCTCGGTCCTCACTCTAGACCCTGGAGCGTAACCACCGTCATGGCCCCTACTGCCTGTTGTAATGACCCACTCACAACCTGTTAGCCCACCCTGCTACACAGGGAGTTCTAAGAAAGCAGGGGTCATGACATCTCTGAATCCTTGCTACCTCTTACGAGTCGTCTGCACAGTTTTGAAATTCTACGAACAAATCTCCTTTTGCTCCATATGACAGAACACCCAAAATAACTGTGAATTTTAAGAAGGTAGAAGTTTGTTTCTTGCCCATGCAATATAAAGCTGACATTAAATAATCTGGAACTGGTTGGTAATTTACAGTTATCAAGCACATGGGCTGTATTTCCACCCTGCCACCCTTAATGCTTGATTTTCCTTTCCAGTTGCCTCGTGTTCCAAAATGGCTGCTGAGACTCCAGCAATAACATCCACATTTCAGAGGCAGCAAGGGATAGAGTAGAAGAGCAGATACATGCCTCCCAACTGTGTTCGCTCCATTTAAGTAGAAGTCCCACACATACTTCCATTTACATTTGTGAGTGTACTGCTTCTCCAAACAGAGTCAGGGCTCTTTTACCAAGAAAGAAAAGAAGAAATGGGTTCTTCATGTCAACCAACAATTCTAGCCAACACCTTTTTCTTTTCCTCCCGTTGCTACCGTCTGTCCAGTCTTTTGGTGGCTCAGAATAGAAAGTCTTGGAACATCGGACATGATGTGCAGAATTCAATGCAAATTTGTTAATAGATGATTGAACTCTTGGTTCTTCTGCCTTCTGGAATGTTTCTTTTCAGTTTCCTCTGTTGATTACTCCTCCCTTCCCAGGAGACCAGATACTGGGGTGCCTAGGAAGTAAGTGTAGGTAGGTAAGACCTCTTCTCTACCCATATTCACACTCCAGGTGATTTCATTGAGGCCCATGCCTTGTGTGTGTGTCAACTCTGGAAACTTCCTAGTCTGTCCCCCCCCCCCCCCCCCCCAGTCTTCTGTATAGCTCCTGGAGCACAGGTACAACCGCTCCATGTCTTGGCTTGGAGTCTAGGGGCACGTCTCTCTCACATGCCCCCAATGAGCCCCTGATGCACTACCCTGCAAAAGATATGCTGTTTTTCCTGTCGATGATAGTGTTGTGGGTATAATGGCCTTTGCGGCACTTAGAAACTTTTTTTTTAAACTTTTAATCTATACAATGGAATACTACATGGCAATGAGAAAGAAAATCTGGCCAGAAATCTGGCCATTTGTAGCAACATGGATGGAACTAGAGGGTGTTATGCTGAGCAAAGTAAGTCAGGCAGAGAAGGACAGGTACGTATACGTGTTTGCACGTATAGGAGGATTAGGAGGAACTTAACGGAGGACCGTGGGGAAGAAGAAGGGGGAAAATAGTGGAGGAGAGGGAGGGAGGCAAACCATGAGAGACTCTTGAATGCTGAGAACAAACTGAGGGCTGATGGGGGTGGGGGAGAGAGAAGGGGGGTGATGGGCATGGAGGAGGGCACTTGTTGGGATGAGCACTGGGTGCTATATGGAAACCAACTTGACAATAAACTAAGAAAAAAAAACTTTTAAAAAATTTTTGATGTTTACTTATTTTTGAGAGCGAGAGAGACAGAGTGTGAGCTGGGGAGGGGTAGAGAAAGAGGGAGACACAAAATCTAAAGCAGGCTTCAGGCTCCGAGCTGTCAGCACAAGCCCGATGCGGGGCGTGGGGAGTGGGGCTCAAACCCACGAACCACAAGATCATGACCTGAGCCAAAGTCAGATGCTTAACCGACTGAGCCACCCAGGTGTCCCTTGTGGCATTTAGGATTGCAATACACCCTTCAGAAACAGCCGTCAGAAATTTTGAAAAAATAAATATTACTTACAAAACCTGGAAATTACACAGCACCCCTGGGGCCACCTAGCAAGGTTGCAGGTAAAGAGAAAGAGAGTGCAAGTGAGCATGGGCCTAGGGTTCTGTGTTTCCTGGGGTTCGGGGTGGGGGTCTAGGGCTTCCTGGGCTGACCCTTTCTTGGTAAGTTCAAAACGTAAGAGCTGGAATTTAAAGAAGAGAAAAAAATGTAAGTAGCCGAATGGTCAGTTATTGAAACCAAACAAGATTTCCAGAACAAAGGAGCCTCAGAGGGTGTTGGGGGGGCGGGGGGAAGGGTGAGGGGAGTAGCCCGGCTCTGATCTCCAGCCAGTGTGTGGCTGGCCATGTATTTATTCCAGATAAGTCATCTCTGAAGTCGATGCCTCTACAGACAAAGTGAAAAAAGAGGAAACCCAACTGTCAGAGCTTATACTACAACAGCTCAGTCTTTTGCTCAAATGAAAAATCTTGGCACCATCCTCCCCTGCCCACCTCTAATCCTTGTCCATCTGAGCGAATGGGTCTCACCAAGTTCACTGCTACTGCCAGACTGCATCTTCTTTTCTCCGGGGCCTCAGTGCAGCCACCCAGTTCACCTCCCTGCCTCCCCTCATGTCCCCTGGAGTCTGTTCTCAACACAGCAGCCGGAGGGATCTTACAACATGATGTGATGTCACCATCCTTCCCACAGAATCCTCCCATCTCAGAGCGGAGGCCAGAATCCTTCTGTTGGCCCGACCTGACCTGGCCTGGCCTGGACCGTCGATCACACATCATCTGCCACTTCTTTGTCCAGCCCCCTGATCCCTTTGCCAGGCCTCAAATAGGCTAAACCCATTCATACACTGAGGCCTCTGCCTTTGCTGGCTGGCTCTACATGGAAGGTTCTTCCCTTCCGATGGCCACGCAGTTCCCGCTCTTGCTTCTCTAGGTCTCTGCTCAAATGTTATGTGACCACATACGCCTCTCTGAGCGCCTCTATACAGTAACCACATTCCCTATCCTGGGAATCCCCGGCCGTACTCCATAGCACTTGTTTCCACCTAAAATTGCACTTATGGATATATTTTGGGGGGTGAGGGAAAAGTGGGAAGTAGTCCTGACATCTAGAAACTGTCCCTGCATGTATAGCTATGTCTTGGTGTTCTCCTGTTGAACATAAAGAATTTCTGGGTGGCTCAGTCAGCTGAGCATCCGACTTCAGCTCAGGTCACGATCTCACGGTTCATGGGATCGAGC